CCCACATGGTGCAGAAAAGTAGCACGTAAAACTCCATTCATTTCATTTCATAATTTTTCATTATGTGTTTTATGTACGGTTTTATGTACGAAATGCTTCTCCTGCGCGGTAATGGTATATAACCGTCAGTGTATTGAGTATGATAATTATATCAAGGTAAAAAATCTAAAACTCGGACAGCTTAAAAAATAGCACGTGTTTGTACACGAATGCACTAGCTTCTGGTATATAAACGTCGGTGAATTGGTTTGCAGGATGATAATGGCATTTTTATCACCAAAGTTTACCATTATTAAAACTATAAAAGCGGGCCGATATGTCAATTTTACCAGATGATTATGTGTCTATCAAACCTGATCTACTGAATTCATCGGGGAATATCAATTGTTAACGCTAATAACGGCTTAGTTTATTCCACTTTTTGTTGGTTCCTTTATTAGAAGATCTGATGTCGCGTAGGTTGGTTCAAATCGCGACTGGATCTATACAGTCGTAGTTGTTAGGGTCCGTATGTGTAGTGGAGCGGGTAAATAAATATTCATTCATAATAACACGCCCTACTCAACTATTGTGCTATTATTAAAGATGGGTTCCCTTATTTTTATTTATGAAAATGAAAATGCTAATACTTATATGAATAGAAAGTAGAGGTGTTCTAATAACTTGGAAAAATACCAGTTGTCTCATATGTCCATAATTAATTCATAATTAGCTAAATTAGAAGAGAATTATCAGCAAAATTCCAATGAGTGACCGATCAAGAAAGGTTAAAAAGTCTTTTTCTGTTTATCCAGGCAAAATTATATGCAATACGAACATAATGATATGATTAAATACATGATAATTCATTAGAAATACCAATAATCAAATAGTTTGACTAATTTGACACTAAAAATAAGGAACCCATCTTTAATTAAAGACTTTCGTTAGACAAAGATTGAAAATTTGTCAATTTGTCAGCCAACTGTCAATAAGTCTTAAATATAGACAGGGTCTATGGCATATATACTATTTGAACGAGTAGAATGAAATTTCAGTGGGTGTTGTCAAATATTGCTTAACTTACGGTCCTCGATTGATTACCATATTAAAACCGAGACCATTTTTACATGATCAAATTTATTGTGCCGATACCTCGTGACCTTCGTGACTTTATTACCATGCCGAAGTTATTTTGTGACCAAATTATTTTGACAAATTTACCTCGTGTCTAAAATCTTGCGAAGAATTTACCTTGTGACCGATTTATCTTGTTACGACATCACTGTGATCAATTTAGTTTGTGACCAATTTAGCATGTGACCACATCACTGAGACCAATTTATCTGGTGACCAAATTACCTTGTGACCACATCACTGAGACCAATTTATCTGGTGACCAATTTACCTTGTGACCACCTCACTGTGATCAATTTAGTTTGTGACCAAATTACCTTGTGACCACATCACTGAGACCAATTTACCTGGTGACCACCTCACTGTGATCAATTTAGTTTGTGACGAAATTACCTTGTGACTACATCACTGAGACCAATTTATCTAGTGACCAAATTACCTTGTGACCACATCACTAAGACCAATTTATCTGGTGACCAAATTACCTTGTGACCACATCACTGAGACCAATTTATCTGGTGACCAAATTACCTTGTGACCACATCACTGAGACCAATTTACCTGGTGACCACCTCACTGTGATCAATTTAGTTTGTGACCAATTTAGCATGTGACCACATCACTGAGACAAATTTATCTGGTGACCAAATTACCTTGTGACTACATCACTGAGACCAATTTATCTGGTGACCAAATTACCTTTTGACCACATCACTGAGACAAATTTATCTGGTGACCAAATTACCTTGTGACCACATCACTGAGACCAATTTTCCTGGTGACCACCTCACTGTGATCAATTTAGTTTGTGACCAAATTACCTTGTGTCTACATCACTGAGACCAATTTATCTGGTGATCAAATTACCTTGTGACCACATCACTAAGACCAATTTATCTGGTGACCAAATTACCTTGTGACCACATCACTGAGAACAATTTATCTAGTGACCACATCACTGAGACCAATTTATCTGGTGACCAAAATACCTTGTGACCACATCACTGAGACTAATTTATCTGATGGCCAAATTACCTTGTGACTTTATCACTGAAACCAATTTATTTTGTGACCAATTTACCTTGTGACCACATCACTGAAACCAATTTATCTGGTGACCAAATTATCTTGTGACCACATCACTGAGATCATTTTATCTGGTGACCAAAATACCTTGTGACCACATCACTGAGACTAATTTATCTGATGGCCAAATTACCTTGTGACTTTATCACTGAAACCAATTTATTTTGTGACCAATTTACCTTGTGACCACATCACTGAAACCAATTTATCTGGTGACCAAATTATCTTGTGACCACATCACTGCGATCATTTTATCTGGTGACCAGATTACCTTGTGACCAATTATTCTTGTGACCAATTTATCTTGTGACTTTATCACTGAAAGCTAATACCAATTTACCCGGTGATCATGTGACTTTGTGACCTTATCACTGTGACCAATTTTTAACGGGATCAAAATATCTATGACTCGAGTTATTTATTTATTTTTGTATCTCATGTTTTTTACCTATATAATAGACCATGCTTACTCTTTTCGAAACACTTGATGGTACTTCTCCTTGGAAAAGTTCCATACTATCTAACTTTTACTCTCAATTTTGCCATACTTTAGACGTGATTTTGATGAACGGAATTGTCATGCTTGTACGATTTTTTTGATATTTCACTCCATCTAAAAGAGGTAGAAACAGCTGGTTACTATTAGACGACTGCATTCCTTTAAGGTTTGTGTGCGATTGATTAAAGCTTGTTTACATGCTCTTTGATTTTCTATTAGAGAGGGAATGTATCATTAGACTCGTATCATATTACAAATATATTGGCTCGTAATCATTATCTTTCAACAAAGCAGCTTTTAATAGGTTTTTTATTGTTCGAATAGATATCATTCTGACAACAATGACAAACGCTCTGATAACTGGTTTGCATCTCGGTCGCAACAGACAGCCATTTGTGATAAAAGTTTGACAAAATCTTTGAATATATTGCAAATGAAATAACATAGCTTTTACTTTGTTTTAATTCAATGGCAACACGGACATGCTCTCTGTATGCTTTTATGCGTCTCGGTTGCAGTAAAAAGCCATTTGCAGTGGACAACTTTTTTGAAAGAACCACGAATATAGGAATCATATTGAAATAAACCACAAATTTTACAAAAATATAGTATATTTTAAAAAATCATTAGAAAAATACATTATTTTATATAAATTATGAAATAAATACATATAAATTATTAATAAATAGCAACATAATAAATTAATAAATAATGAAGTAATATTCATGGAAGATGTTATTTCATTTTTTGTAATAAATAATGATTTTAATAAATTAATAAATGTTATATTTACAATTCCACGAAAAAAAATTATGCTATGTATCATAATGATAATGAAAATATGAAGAAATTTCATTGTACAATAATGATAATAATGAATACGAATAATGATAATGTACCAATGTTTTTGGGGTCTTTTTTTCTACCAAATTCTTATTATTTATTTTTCGTCATTATTTTTAACATTATGCGATTACAATAATAATTTTCTTAAAAGTACAATTTTTTTTTTTTGAAAATGAAATCTAATTCATTCTTAAAGATGGGTTCCCTTATTTTCATTTATGAAGTATTTAATACTTATATGAATAGAAAATAGAGGTGTTCTAATGACTTGGAAAAATACCGTTTGTCTCACATGTCCATAATTAATTCATAATTAGCCAAATTAGAAGAGAATTACCAACAGAATTCCAATGAGTGACCGATCAAAAAAGGACAAAAGTCTGTTTTTGTTTATCCAGACTGTACATACATGGACATTTACGATTGGTTAAACTTATATTATATGCAATAAGAACATAATGATATGATTAAGAATACATGATAATTCATTAGAAACATCAATTAATCAAATAGTTTGCTTAATTTGACACTAAAAAATAAGCAAATCCATCTTTAATATAATTTATAAGGAATTTTTTCAAAATATATATTTCTTTTTTTTTTTTTTAATTTTTTTTTTTTTTTTTTTTGCATTTTTGGGTTGTGAAATATAGATATATAATCGAAGGAAAAAAATATTTGAAAAAAATTACATAACATAATATTCTGACAGAAAAGAAACATCAATTCACATACAGAAACCTTGATCTTATATTTGTAAGCTGGATAAAGATTCAAGTATATCAAATGAAAAAAAAATTAATTAAACGAAGCAATAGTTTATCCATAAAATGATCATATTTTCTCATGTTTCGTCTAGGTTTCTAAATGTCATTTAAAGTGATACTACGTCTTAGAATGAACATAACATTAAGTTCTCGAAATGGTCAATATGAGTATATATTCATCAGTGAACTTACCTGGTGTCATAAAGTTACAACAGAATCCCTGTAAAATCTAGAAAATTTGAAAATTCATAAAACTAAGTCATTATTGAATAACGCTTAATCTTGATATTAAGCGTTTTTCAATAGTTTATTGAATATTTATAGATAATTACTAAGTTTTTTGGATTTATCGGATTATATAAGGATCCTGTTATGTTATTTATGATACCAGGTATATCTACTGGCTCTTATTGGCCAATTTTAAAATTCTGAAATTTTATGTTAATTCTAAGACGTAGTATCCCTTTAAAGATTATGAAAAAAAGTAATAACTGGTGTAACTCAATATTGCCCTTATAATATAAAATGATTTTTTCCTTTATAAAAACTGGCAGTAACTTGCGAAAAAATAAAGTAGGTCAGTCACGGTGAGCTTAGAAACGGAAACTCCATTCATTTCATTTGCAGTGGATTATATTTTGGAAAGAACCACGAATATAGGAATCATATTGAAATAAACCACAAATTTTACAAAAATACATTATTTTATATAAATTATGAAATAAATACATATAAATTATCAATAAATAGCAACATAATAAATTAATAAATAATGAAGTAATATTTATGGAAGATGTTACTTGATTTTTTGTAATAAATAATGATTTTAATAAATTAATAAATGTTATATTTACAATTCCACGAAAAAAAATTATGCTATGTATCATAATGAAAATGAAAATATGAAGAAATTTACTGGCAGTTAAGTTAAGTAGGGCAGTCATGGTGAGCTTAGAAACGGAATGGACTAATATACCTAAATATAATTTGCAGAATTTGTTCAAAAACAACATTCATTTCATATATTCTTCAAATTCATCATAAGCTAACATTGGCAGAAAATTTTCAATAGTTGTACAACATATTCAAACAAATAATGACACCATATTTCAAATTTCTAAATTATTCTGCATAAGCATTCAACACAACACATAATCTTGTGCACACGAAAAAAAATTTCATTTGTTGTACAACTTAAACATACATGTTCATATGACACCATGTTTCTTAATCAAGCATTGAATATAAAAAAAAAAGTTATTGTACAACAGGCATTTAAATAACAACATTTTAATTTTTTTTTTTGTAGATATACAATACATTTATAAAATAACAACCAGATATACAAATAAATTAATTAATGTTGTATATACATGAAAATGACTATTATTTATCATTCAAGGGACATAACCACTATTGAATTTGAAAATTTGAACCTGGCGTCAGGTCCAAATAAATAGATTTCCATGACGTCATTATAAATGAAATGTAGCACACGGGGCCTCGGTTTATTGTCCCATCCAAACGTCTAGACGCTTTTTTCATGTCAGCCCGTCGTACCTGCATCAGGGGAAACCGAGTTGAAAAATCCGAAGGTATTATCTCGATCTATGCCGGGATTGAACCCTGGACCCTCAGGTTAACGAGCAAGATTCTAACTCACTGAGCCACCGCGGCTCCCACATGACAATATATAATATCATGTTCAGAGAGTTATATAGTGGTTATGTTCCTTAAGTGTGTTTTGGTCCCTATAATGGTAATGTAAATTATATATAAATAAATAATGTTAAACGATAAGCTATTTAACGACACAGTCGTTACTTCGACATTTGCTATACGCAAATACATGACCGCAAACACGCGGTGGTTGTGATTTAAAAAAGAATTTTTGATGAAAAAGTTAAAAAATAGTGGAGAATAAATCTCTCACACTTTCTACGAAGACTTCCGTCATATAAAAAATTTGATAATGTTTAATGTAGCGACTAACACGAGAAGAATTATCAATTTTACTTGGTTCGACCTGGAAATCGACAGAAGGTACAATTTGTTCATGAAATCTTAAGATTATACTCAAGTGACAACGTATCTTCTGTGCAGCGTCAGTAACTTCTGTCAGATGACCAAGAATTTCTGCATCATTGTCGTCATGGTGACTCTTTTCAACTTCTGCCAAGTTGGAGTAATAGATTTCCACCATCGACATGTTTTTGTACAAATCAGAAAACATATCGCCCTGAAAGTAAACAATGGTAAATATGTGCTGGGTTGGGAGAGGTAGGTATGTGACCGTAGGGGAAAGGTGGGTATCTTCGTCCGAAGTGCATTGACAATGGGTAGGCGGATGACACAGGTGCTAGTGGCAGTGGTTGGGATGTGACACTAGGCCGACTCTCGAAAGCATTGGCTATGAAAGCATTTGAGTATGAAAGCATTTGAGTATGAGAGCAACTTGTCGGATCTACATGAGTGTACATTGGAAAATAAGCTTACTCTTTTGCAATTTTTAGACGATGGGGACGATTAAAGCCAAGGAATGAGGGACGGTTCAGGGTTTGTCGGGTATCGGTGCTGGAGATTCAATATATAAAATCACTTACCGAAAAGAGGTTGTTTGGATAAGGAAATGCGTCAGAGTTGTATTCACTTGAAGCTTTTTTTTCTACTATGCTTCTTAAAATTTTGTTTTGAATTCGGTTAGCAGCCTGAAATTTAAAAAAAAAATTATGGAGCCAAAATTTTACATAAGTCTGCGTATTACCTTACAAAATCCGTCGATCTAGCTATGTCGACAGAAGTCACAACATTAATAAAAAAATCCGTACAAGACAGACAAATCCATTAATCAAAATGTCGTACAAAGTATGGCAAAATCGAGAGTAAAAATAGTATAGTAGTGGACTCCTCTAAAGAGAAGTACCAGCAGGTGTTTCGAAAAGAGAAAGTAATCTCTGCTTCGTGCGCGATCACTGCTATATTATATTATGAATAACCTACTTTTTTGGCTGACGACTTAAAATTTAGGCCGACATACATATAACAACATATCCCTTTATCAAGTACAGTATAGGTCTATATCTCGAATAACATATCCTTTGTGCACTCTTTCTCATTGAGTCATTTGCCCTATATCATGACAGTGTAAGGTCTCGATGTATAAGGGTCAAGGCCCAAGGTTCAAGGATCTGTGATAACCGAACACTGTACGTTAAATAGGCTTGATCATTCAGGCTATAGGTTAGTATGTAGGTCCAATGTAAATGGGCCTTGGTGATCGAGACAACATCACATCGCGCTTAATACAATATACGCATGCTCCATAAAGGCGTAGACGTCTCAAACTGAATGCTTTTTGAAGACATGTAAAGTATTCTATTGTGATGGATTAACGAGGATCGGATTTTGGGTGTAGCTCATGGAATGCTCATCGAATATACATTTAAAACAATGCTCGTGGGATATACGTGTAACCTTATTATTGTGAAATACCAAGGGAATGTAGTCGTTGTGTACTAAATTTGCATAGATTTGCAAATGTCGCTTGACAGCAATAGGTGCAGTATACGAAACGCATGAATAGATACACAACGTGGAGGCCTAACTTACCATAATAGTTTTCAACCCTTCTACCTTTGATTTTATCTTGATGGTGTTTGGTAACAGTTCATGTATGCTTTCACTTAGTTCTTCTTCATTTGGAATATAATCCATATCTATTTCTCCTCCGCAGGGGTTCGGCATCAGATGAGGGTTGACCGTTGTAGGCAGAAGGGTTGATAATGTTGGTGCATTCGACTGTGGGGTTGGTAAGCCCATAGTTACAGACAAGCCAAATATGGCTGCTGTCAGTTGCATTATCACTCTGATATTCATGTTCTCTACAAAAAATAATAATAGAATACAAGTAAAAGGTAAATGGAGTAATCATTCTCGAGTTACTTGACTAACTTTTAAATCATGATTCACATAGAAGAATAACCCAACTTCAATCATGATTTAAAGATGGGTTTCCTTATTTTTTAGTGTCAAATTAAGTCAACTATTTGATTAATTGGTGTTTCTAATGAATTATCATGTATTCTTAATCATATCATTATGTTCTTATCGCATATAATTAAGAGTTTTAACTAATCATAAATGTCCATGTATTTACAGTCTGGATAAACAAAAAAAGACTTTTTGACCTTTCTTGATCGGTTACTCATTGGAATTCTGCTGGTAATTCTCTTCTAATTTAGCTAATTATAAATTAATTATGGACATGTGAGACAAACTGGTATTTTTCAAAGTCATTAGAACTGCTCTACTTTCTATTCATATAAGTATTAGCATTTTGATTTTCATAAATAAATAAGGGAACCCATCTTTAAAGAGACTAATAACTTTACTGGAATCATGATTCAAAGAGAAATTCGTAAGAAAAATAACCCAACTTCAATCATGATTTAAAGAGAAAAAAACGTCAAACATGGTTCAAAGAGAATACAGACCCAAATTCATGCATGATTACACTCATAATAAACACAAAATGTTCATTTAGAAAACAGGGTTTCCCTTATTTTCATTTATAAAAGTGAAAAGGCTAATACTTTTATGAATAGAAAGTAGAGGTGTTCTAATGACTTGGAAAAATACCAGTTTGTCTCACATGTCTATAATTAATTCATAATTAGCTAAATTAGAAGAGAATTACCAACAGAATTCCAATGAGTGCTTTTTTTGTTTATCCAGAATATACATACAAGAGAATTTATATAATTATATGCAATAAGAACATAATGATATGATTAAGAATACATGATAATTCATTAAAAACACCAATTAATCAAATAGTTTGCTTAATTTGACACTAAGAAATAAGGAAACCCATCTTTAAAATTAAATTAAAATATCAACTCAAAAACAGTGCTGAGAGTCTTAGATTGGCTTTGGATTCGGGAAAACGTCTACCAATAAAAGAATTAGTATTTGGGAACATAATTTACAGAAGAAATTTTTCATTTCGAAATTCGAATACGGCAAATTCTTCAAAGAAAAGTGTTTTTATTTCAAATTTTAAATTTCGAATCCCTGTAAGTCAAATGAAGAACTATTAAAAAAAGTTGTTTTAAAATTTTATAAAATAACAGAAAAAAATGTAATTCTTAGCTGAGTGTTGTAGAAGAGTAACAGTACTGTCTTAAAGCTGATATTCCAATTTCACACAAAAATAATCCAAAAATTCAGAGAGACTCTTACGAAATTGTCTTGTCGCTTTAAAGTAAACTCGAAAACAGTTTATTTCGAATACAAGATGGTCTATTTATTTAACTTAAATCGGGAATTTATTTCTCTAAATATAATTTATGACGACATATTTTTGCTACTTTCTGTTTTGTACTGTTATATACTAACTATATCCTTGTATTGACCCATCCTTTTGACAATTTGGTAGATACCTGTTAATATTATTATCTATGCCAACCATTTTGATATATCACATGCATCCCCTGATCCAGTAAACAAAGATCGTTGAACCGGTCGAAGCTTTTGTCTAATATCTTTTTCAAGTAAACCTCATTGTATTATTGAAGAGCTAATACGGTGCAAAAAAGTAGGACCTAAAATTCAACTTTCTTCTTTTGTTAAGTTCGTGGGAGCAGAAAAGTAGGACGTAAAACTCAATTCATTTTATTTTCAAGTTCGTGGGAAATATAGGTTTACTTTACCGCAATGTTACGAAAACACAGGCAAAGTTCGTAAGGTTAGAATTGGTACTTTTGTCATTTCGGTCAACTGATTTTTAAAAAACGAAAACACTGAATGCAAAAGCAAATTTGCAATCAAGATTTTAAACCAATGTTATTGCAAAATTAGAACTAGACCTAATCGTGGAGGTTTTAACCCATAGTATGTAATCTATTCAGTTACATCTTTACATCGAAACTTAGACGTACGAATATAACCTTTCTTTGTCTAATAGTCGTCTGCTCTAAGTCTATCGGGTTTGCCCAATTTCTTTCCCACAGTCTCGCGTGTTTTTTCGCTATTCTTGCATCAGAACACAAACTTCAGTGGAGATCTCTTAAAGACAGTGAGTACAAACTTTACGAAATTTCCATTGAAGAAAGTACAGCGATATTCACGTGGTATTTGAGTCGGAAACCATGACCCATTTCAAAAAGGGAAATCCATAAAATGGTGATGACAAAATCGGGCAATTTGACCTCACGCTACATTGATAAGTTTAATGAAATGAAATGGATTTTATCTTTATCTCTATACGAATTTATACTAAGTGTACCTTCGGAGACATTTTGTGAGGTTGAGAACCTGCACTGGAGCGACCCTCGAAAGCACTGGTCGTGGTATCAGAACTTTAACATGCCTGGGATATCCCACATGTTTTTAACTACTGTATTCCATGGAATCACGCTTTTTTTCTCTCGAAAATGTGATCAATCGGCTTTGAAAACGCGGGCTTTGACAATCTAGTCCTGATTTTATCAAAAAAAATTATCCTTCAATCCAATTATAAACCAACATTTGTGATTTGTCGGTTTGAATTCCCCACTGACGTTTTCATCTCATACTAAATTTTCTAACCAACTTTCAGATACAATGGGTTCGAATCACTTTCAAAGACATATAAAAATATCCACTGTCTCTGTCAATGCTTTTGAACCACACTTTAAAAAATGGGCAAAATTCGATATACCAAAACACTTGCGAAGACAGTAGATAATATTATAATAAATACATCTTTCGACTTAAGAAAGGTATTCACAAACTCAAGCGCAGAGTGACAAAAAAAAAATTAAAAAATTTCATTGTTTTCTTACCGTTATATTGAAAAATTCTTTAAAGTTTTGTTATCTTTCGTGTTTATATTATTATTTAATTCACTTCAATGATCTAAATACATCTTTTCGTTGAATTTATACTAGATAAGGGGAAACCGCGGGATTCCTAATGATACTAAAAATAGTGTGTTTCCGGTCCATAATAGTAATTTTTCGATTTCACTTCGATGTCATTCAATTAGGGCTCGGTATCGAATGGAAAATATATCTCGTCCTAAATAAGATTTTTACGGATGTAATTAAAATTTCACTACTGTTTGAAAAAGGATTTGAAATTGTTTGGGAGGAAAGTCTAATTTCACAATATTACAGCAACTCATTTTTCCGGAAACGTTTACGTCTTTATGATTTGATTACATTATAAATAATACAAAAAATATTTTTGATAAACAAGAAATTGCATCATTGTAAATTTTGTTGATTGGTTTGCGAAATTTTAATCACTTGAAATCTTAGTCATATAAATTGAAAGTAATTCGGCACGGATCACTTTCGAGGGGCAAAAAAAAAATATGATGTCATAAAACATTTCAGAGATATTTCCAAAACTGTTTGTCTTTATGAGGGTTGTGTATCCGAAGCACTTGTCTGTTATAGCTTGAGGTGAGCTATAGTCAAAAATTGGTAAAATGAATAGTTGTTGATGGAAAGAGAGCCATCATTTTCTGGATAGACGTTAACCTCATTCATTTATGCGGCCTTAAAAGGAAAGGTTTACCATCTGTTCGACCAATCCTACCTTGGATTTTTGTAAGCCTAGCTAGTTAGTACAAGTGTTCACTGCTCAACATCCGAATTTGAGTTTTCAAATCCATGTTTATTCACACTCTGGATAGTTAAAATGACGACTCCTCTTCAGGAGACTCCACCACAATATACAGAAAACACATATTTTATAGAAAGAGAAAGTGAAAAAGTATATTTAAAGGGACGCATTTTTAAAGGGACCACTTAGGCATATTCAATACCCAAAATCAACCCCCGATAATCATGTTTACGTCCGAGGGGGGGGGGGGGGACGAAATATCTGAGGTTGCCCGAATTTCCAACCTAGTTACGAGATTTTGGCCCGAAAAAACTGTTTTCCGGGCTGCAGTGGGGGCAGATGACCCCTCTCAGCACCCCCACCCCCCTTGGCTCCGCCACTGCCGATAACGGCGGCCATTAAATTGAATTTCGCCCTTATGTATCAAAGGGTACTAGCATCTTTGACCTTTAACCCTCGATCAAAATAGTTCTATTTTGTCGCCATTAATTATTATTTGTCGAGGTTCTAAACCAACGAAACAAAATATCCACGGACTATAACATACACTACGTCCATTGGTCAAAATGACACGGGGAGCATAATGAAATATCAAAGGCTTGATGCAGTCTAAGACGTAGACCTTTGTTAAATCTGGAAGGAAGCGAAAAATCTCATCAACTTTATTTTTTTCCCCAATATTTTTTATTAAGTCAATGTCCCCGGGATTATGTTACAATATCACATTATTATTGAGACGAAATTTAAAGATGGGTTCCCTTATTTTCATTTATGAAAATGAAATTGCTAATACTTATATGAATAGAAAGTAGAGGTGTTCTAATGACTTGGAAAAATTCCAGTTTGTCTCACATGTCCATAATTAATTCATAATTAGCTAAATTAGAAGAGAATTACTAACAGAATTCGGATGAGTGACCGATCAAGAAACGTCAAAAAGTCTTTTTTGTTTATCCAGACTGTATGAAAATGATCATTTATGATTGATTAAAACTTATATTATCATATGTAATAAGAACATAATGATATGATTAAGAATACATGATAATTCATTAAAAACACCAAGTAATGAAAAAGTTTGCTTAATTTGACACTAAAAATCAAGGAAACCCATCTTTAAACTGCATCAGTAGATACGCCGTGACTGAGTGTAGATTAGCGTGGGGGTTTGTATAAGGGGGAAATATTTCACCTCTATTTAAAAGGCAGATTGAATATAAGAAAGATGCGGAAATAAAAAGACTATTGACAAAGAAAGTTCACGGTTATTTCTCTTGAATAATGCTATGTTATTGGTTGGTTCAAAATATATAATTTTCATCGGAAATGATTTGCATGCTTTTTTGTTTTGCAAAACTCTTGTGGGTGTTGTTTTTCCAATCGGTAATGACTTGAGATGCGGAAATAAAAAGACTATTGACAAAGAAAGTTCACGGTTATTTCTCTTGAATAATGCTATGTTATTGGTTGGTTCAAAATATATAATTTTCATCGGAAATGATTTGCATGCTTTTTTGTTTTGCAAAACTCTTGTGGGTGTTGTTTTTCCAATCGGTAATGACTTGAATGCATTTGTTTTTTGAAGAAGTCTTGTATAGGCGTTCTTGTACCAATCGGAAATGACGTGCGTATGAACTTTGTAAAGCACAAGTCCTGTTTCTGTTATCGAACCATTCAATTGGAAATGAAGTGAAATAAATGGAGTTTTACGTCCTACTTTTCTGCACAATGTGGGCTAATGAAGACGGGAAACGCCATGCAGGGTGCAATGAGCGAAAGTTTGCCAGGACAGCGGCATTAGCCTGCTCTTTTTCGATCTCCAAAAAAATCCGAAGGTTTCATCTCGGCCTATGCCGAAAATTGGTTTCGGTAAAATGGCATAATGTTTAGGATTATTCAGGATAAGAAAGTAGAGTTTAAAGTCGGGAGAAAGGATAAGAAAGTAGAGTTTGAAGTCGGGAGAAAGGATAAGAAAGTAGAGTTAGAAGTCGAGAGAAAGGATAAGAAAGAAGAGTTAGAAGTCGGGGGAAAGTAAGGTCGAGAGAGAGAAGATATAGGTAGAGGAGTTGTGACAGGGTAAGAAGGAAGAGTTTGTAAGTCGATAGAAAGGATCAAGAGACAGGTAGGTAAGTCGAAAGAGAAATAAGAGAAAGGCAACGAAGTCGGGAGAAAGGAAGTCGAGAGACATTAAAAAAAGAAGAGTTAGGAGGGAGAAAGAAGGGACAGGTAGGGAAGTCGAGAGAAAGGAAGAAGAAACAGGATAAGAATGAATAGTTTGGAAGTCAATAGGGAGAAGGAAGATTTATGGAAGTGGAGAGAGAGAAGAAAGAGACAGGTAGGGAAGTGGAGAGATAGGAAGAAGAGACAGGCTCAGAAAGAAGAGTTTGGAAGTCAATAGAGAGAAGGAATAAGAGAGCCAGGATAAGAATGAAGTCGAGAGAAAAGAAGAACAATGAAGAGGTGGTGAAAGAAGAGAGAAGGAAGATCTATGGAAGTCGAGGGAGGAAGACCAGACAGGTGGGAAGTCAAGGTTTAAGCCGGTAGGGGAATTGTGTTGTAGAGGAGAGTAGGTAGTGAATGATATTAATTGTGGACTAGGGAGTATTCTCTTATATTGAGGTACTTAATATACCTGCGTGCAATGCTTCGAATTACAGTACTCCGAAGACTTATTATGGGTAGGCGAAATCTTAATGATGACAATCATAGTCGATTAAAATTCAATATAAATATAATTCGTAAGTATTCTCAGTGGTCAGATGAAATTACAGCGAATTACTTCCCTTGAAGTAAAACGTATATGAAACGTTACTGTTTTAAATTAAGAATTTTGATTCGTAGTTAATAACAATTAGGTAG